GATTACACTGGCCCTGTACTGAACACACTGAACCCTGACTGATGATGGTTAGCTACTCTTACCTTAGCCTGTTCATGGATTACTCTATCATCTGCTACCTGCCCTGATCTCTGCTTGACCCTGGATTACTCTTGTTGGAGAGTGCAGTTAGCTTGCCTGACACTAGATGGTTCTGCTCCCAGTATAGTATGGTGAAGGAAAAGTTGTAAGTAGGTGTTAGCTTCCCTTTACAAATGTCCCGCCTTAGTGATGTCATGGGTGTAGGTAATGCCCATATAAATCCTGTGTGGGAAGAGCCCTAGTTAGACTGAGCATGAGAGCCAAACACTGAAGAGCTGTTGAGATGTAGTCTCCTGCAGAGCTTATCTACAGGGCCTTTTGCAGGGCTGAAGTCCATGGAAAGGTGGTACAGAACATAAGAGCAATTGCTGTAGCTGTCCTGTCTCTCCTGACCTTCTTCTGCAGGTCCTACAGCAAGGTACATAAGACCTTGGAGGTCTGGACAAAGTTCTCTACTGTATGGGAGTAATGGTTAAAGCGGAGTTCCAGCTAAAAAAAAAAAAAAAAGGTCAGCAGCTACAAAAACTGTAGCTGCTGACTTCTAAAATACAGACACTTACCTGTCCCTTGGTCCAGCGGTGTCCTCACCACCAATGGTTTCATCGTCCGTCTTCTCTCCCTGGTGCCGGCATCTTCAGTGTGGGCACCAGGCTGAGAAAAGCGCTGCGCTTTGTGAATGGCCCTGTAGTCTTCTGGGACCTGTCACGTGTCCCAGAAGACTACGGGGAGGGGGGGGGCAACTTCCGCTTCTTATTCCCCCCCCCCCCCGCTCACCAAAGGTGCTAATCCTTACTGGGGAGCAGGGGGGCCTGCCTGTTGTTTCCTTTTGTAAGTATGCAATCTAATTTGTAATAAAACAGTTGAAAAATTGCTATACTATGCAGTTCCTTCTCCCTCTTCCACATGTGAGACGGGATTTGAGTATATATGACAGCCTAAATAGAGAAAGGACATCCGTCCTTCTGGGAGAGATCCAAAGCAATTTTAGACCTCCTGTGTTATGAGGATGAAGCTCTGGTAAACAATTTTCATATTTAAAGTATTTTTTTTAGTTTTGGACAGAGTGTAGAGGGATTAGAACTGGCCTTGAAATTTTCACTTGCCTGCTCGCATTGGCGAGTGGAAATTATGGTGGGGCGAGTGTGCCCCCAGGGCCATCTTGCTGAGCAGGCTTGGAGCTCAGGCCGGCTCTGTCACTCGCGCTGGAAGCCGTCAGACTGCTCAATAGCTGAGTGCAGTGAAAACAAAGGAAGGAGTATGTGCTGTACTCTCTTCCTCCCCCTAGAGTGCAGTACTCGCCTCTGTGAGTGAAGGTAAGGTAAGGAGTACTGCAACTTTTTATAGGGCTGTGTGTATATGTATCTGTGTGTGTGTATGTGTGTACGTGTGTGTGTGTGTGTATGTACATGTGTCTGTGTGTATGTATCTGTGTATGTACGTGTGTCTGTGTGTATGTACATGTGTCAATGCATGTACATGTGTCTCTGTGGTGTGTATGTACATTTGTCTGTACGTGTGTGTGTGTCTATGTGTCTCTGTGCATGTGTGTACATGTTTCTGTGTGTGTGCCTGTGTGTGTGTATATGTGTGCGTGTGTGTGTGTAAACATACATGTATGGCTGGTTTGGTCACGTTCAGGATTATGTGGTTATTATGGGTGGTAGAGTATGGGGCACTTGAGGTACTGCTGGGTTGGAAAGAAGGTAGGATATGCTTGGAAGAGTTGTGGTTTTGTGAGTGAAACATTATAGGGGGTTATGGTTGTATGTGGTGCATGGTCTAAGTATGATGGAGTGTTTAGGGGGACATTGGAGGCCCCAATGTAATGTGGTGGGACTCTGGGGACACTGATGTAATGTGGGGGGACTCTGGGGACCCTAATGTAATGTGGGGGGACTCTGGGGACCCTAATGTACTGTGGGGGGAATCTTATGTAATGTGGGGGGACCCTAATATAATGTGGGTAACATGTAATAGTGTCATTTCATGAGATAATTTACAAGGACGTGTTTAGGGGCGAAATTAGGGGCGAGGCAGGGTAAGGGTTGGGTGGGGCAACATGTGGAGAGTAACTCTTAAGGCCTGGCTAGTAGCTCAGGACTTGAAATTTTGAGCCCTGGATTAGAATATATTTTTAGGTTTTATTTGCTGCCTGTGCCCCTGTTAGGGAGATTCACCCTCTCTATTTGTCCTGTTTACCATTAATTATCAAATTAAAGAAACAGAGTGCAGTAACAGAGTAACTCTGGTTTATCCACTGTTTGCCATGGCATGCTTTGTGCTTCATCACCCCACCCAAAAAGTGGAAACCATAATTTAAGCATATAAATCATCTCATAAAGCTACCTATTTGCCCTTGTGATCAATGTCACCAGGACACAAAATGAGGAGAATTACATTTTATGGCTAGAGTTTTTTTTTTTTTTTTTTTAACGGGTATACCTGTTCTGGTACAGCTGTCTAAGATGGAATTTCCCCTCACCTTTGAAAAAAAATTCCTATTGTGTCACCAGGACAAGAAATGAAGGGAAATCCCTTTAAAGCGGCATTCCATCCAAAAGGGGAAGTTCCACTTTAAGGATTGGTCCCCTGCTCCCTTTTAAGGATTAGTACCTTTGGGGAGTGGGGGGGGGGCAGGTACCCGAAACTGAGATGTACCACTCCTACTTCAGCTGCGATTGCCTAGGCAATCGGCAGCGGAAGTTGTCCTTTCCCTCCCTCCCTTCCTGTAGTCTTCTGGGACACCTGACAGGTCCCAGACGACTAGAGGACCATTCAGAAAGCACAGTGCTACTTGTGGCCCCCAGCTGTGAAACCGCAAGCTGTCAGAGCCAGATGCCCACACTGAAGATGCGAGCACCAGGAACACAGGATGGCCGGTGAAACGGAGGACACCGAAGGATCAAGAGACAGGTGCGTGGCTGTTTTTTTAAAAGTCAGCAGCTACACTTTTTGTGTTTTTTTTCTGTTTTTTTTACAGTTCGATTGCAACTCCGCGTTAATGTAACAGACAGCAAAAATGTTTAACCATTCTCTACGCTATCCAAAACTTAAAAATGTTTGGCTTTAGGCTTGGACTAATATAGTGTAATATAATTTTATGCCCATTCTCAAAAAACACTGCATTTTGGAAAATTAAAAAAGTACAGTAAAGGCAATCACACTAGGTTAGCTAGCATAACTTGCCTTTTTGATGTTGTCCATAAATCCAAGAAGAGTTCACAAGTGGTTAACAAAATGTCTTTAATCATGTAAATTGGCAGGCCATATTTTTGTATCTTTGTTTGCAGTCAATACTTGCTGATCATACAGCTTTCATCTAGTATGCAAGAGGTTAACATACTTTTGATTGTAAAAGAAAAAAAATTCAAAGATTATGTTGCCAAAACAAACAACAGCCTGTGGATGAAATGCCTGCAATATCTGTACAGTATACACAGCATTCAAAGAGGATTGTAGGAAAGCAGCCAGAGTCTTGCCTCTTCCAGGGCACGTGGGCAGTCATTTGGGGTATCCATATTACACGTGTGGCCAGAGTACACAATGTTCTCGATAGTAAATTGCGTTCTTTGTAAACTTTCCTCTGCGGGCCTGTAGCTAAGATGTGTAGTGCTGATGAAAGATGCCACACAGTCAACATCAATAGGGTATGTATGGCCAGTGTTCATAGCTACCAACTGTCCCTGATTTTGGGGGACTGCCCCTGATTTGGAACCTCTGTCCCTCTTTTCTCATCATTTGTCCCTCATTTTGGTCAGATCTATCTAGTTATATATACAATGCACTATTACTATATTAAAAAGTCTATTACAGCACTAAATCTTTCATCCATTCATTTCTAAATTGCTGCATTTGTAAATTTCCAAAGCACATATAAAGGAATAATAGTGCTACTTGTGGGTTTAACCAACAATTTTGTTTTTGTATATTTCTCCTTTAAGGTGGGAGCGGCCAGGGGTGTGTCCAATGCCTACATACGTTTGCTAATAGGTGTCCCTCGTTTTCATCTCAGAAAGTTGGGAGGTATGAGTGTTTACTGAGTAATGTAAGAAGTGCCACTTTTTGATTGAGGCATGGTTCACACTAGTGCAGCGGTTCCTGCACCCGCGATCACGCTGCGGGCTGAGATGCGTGGGGGTGCCATTCAGAATGAATGGCAGCCCTGCGCGTCTTGCAAAAGAGCAGCACAATTCAGCTGTGGGTGGGGGAACAGATGAGATTCCCGCAATCAGCCCACAGCTGATGAATCTAGCCTTACTCATTAACGGAAACTGTAGTGTATTTTCAGAGAGCACGCTTTCCATTATTTAGGTATATGTAATCCTAAACTCTGTTAGTTGCATGGCTAGTCAGGTTGAAAAGTGACACACGTTCATGTGGTTCAACGAAAGACAAAAATTAATAAATTGAAAACTTGCATCCTCAGAACCCTAAACCTGTCGAAGATCTGGAGGAGTCAGGAACTTGTAATTTCAAATGTTATTTTTAAATTTGCGTTTATTAGAATATCTCCTGGTGATCTGAATATAAAGGTCTTTGTTCACGCTCTTCCTGTTATAGGGTAACAATGTTCCGTCCCTGTCCTCCAATCATGCTCCTGCTTTGTCACCCTGTCACACAAGTTTCCACTCAAGACCACAAGTGGCTGCTTCGGCACATATTATGCAGGCATTGGCCACTGTTGTCACCGTTAGGAAACCTGCCTGGAGAAAAGCCATGTAGCCACTGTAAACAAAAAGTGGATGCATAGTGGCTGTAGGAAATACATGTTACTCAACTGTCTCAGATCCAGCAAAACCCTATAATCCTGGACATGTCCTGCTCCTGGGGGCTGGAATCCCATTCTAAGCTCCAAGCAGGGGCGGACTGACCATTTGGAAACTCAGGCGCTGCCTGAGGGCCTGCGGTCAGTAGGGGGCCCCATGAGATGCCCCTGGTACCTTTTTCATAGGCTTTTTTGAGTTTGGTCAAGGACACAGGGGCCCCATGATCCCCTATTGCCCGCGGGCCTCATGAGTTGTCAGTCCGCCCCTGGCTCCAAGTTGGTCTATAGCTAAGGACTCTCCATGGGGCTTCACATGAATTTGGTACTGGGCATCGGGGGTAGGAATGTGACAGAGTCAATCACCCCTCAGTATATAAATTTACTCTGGCAAGCAAATTGAGTGGCAAAGGAATGAATAAATGAGGGTATAAACAGAAGGGAGGGGGGCTTTATGGATTAAGTATTGGTTCACTTTAAAAATCACTCCAGGCATATGGACATGGAAAATTTGTAGCACAAAATGGAAAATGCTTCACTTATGCAATGGTCAGAAAATATACATTATTTTTCATTTCTATGGTTGACCTTTAAAAAATGTAAAGCTGATTTTCTCTATGATGTGAAAAATGTATACTGTTCTTTTTCTGTATATTGAAAATGTAATAAAAATTGTTACTTATAATAAAAAATGTAAAGCTTTCTTCAAAACTTCTATTCAGTAATTTACTACTATACTGTGAATAGCCTACGTGATTCCATCTACTATTCAGGTCTATTGAGGACACACAAATGCATCTGAATGAATCGGGAGTGACACCCCCACCCCTATACACAGTTCTGCTAATTCATGTGGAATGGGTTATCCAGTAAAATAGCAATAGAAAAAGAGTGAGCAAGAATGGATGCCATTTTTAACAGGATGCCCAAAATGATCTACAAAAACAGTCATGAAAACACCATCACACACTAATATTTCATTTATTCTTGGACTTTGCTGACTTACCACGGTCTTCTTTTATCTCTTGGGGACCCTGAGATGAGATAGCTCTAGTATAATTTGTAGTTCTTTTTCTGCACACCTTGGTGTCTTGCTAATGTATCTGATAACTTAAATTGGAAGTTCACTCTCTCAGTCAACACTGATTATTTGTATTCCTTATGCTGCTAGCATTAGTAAAATAGGTAGTTATCATATTTACTTGTTTTAAACCTTTTTTTTTTCAAACTTTCTTCAGTTACATCCTGGTTTCCAAGCCTAGACAAAGCCTAAGAGTCTTGAGGAGGGAAGGAGGGTTTGCTGAGCTTTGCACACCCTCCTGACTGTATGCCTGAGTGAAGGGCAGATGGATTCCAGGAAGTACATGCTACATAAATTATCTGCCCTTATGCAAGATGGCTGCAGCCAGAAATGCTAGGGGTGTTTTTTAAAGTGATTTCTCAGCAAAATAAAGCAAGGAGACATGAATGGATGGCTGAGTTTGCTTTGAATAACAAAAATGAATTAAATAGCATTGTTTGTTTGTGGTGCTCAGATACAGTGTAGTTCTGCTTGTTTAGTCATCTTGTGTTGGATCACAAACACTGCCTGCTGAATTATCTCTCCAGAACTAAACAAAGCACTGAAACATCAGCCTTGGATAGACTGACCCTTTGATCGGGTTCGATTTGCACACATTGGATAAATGAATCACCTAAGTAGCACCTTCATTATTGATATATATTGTACGGCTCAGAGAGGTCCGGAATGGCAATCTAGTGCATTTATCCAGTCTGCTGATATTTCTAGGGTGTTGTACGGCTGGCAGGGACATCTGGTGAGGTGCACAGCCTCATTCTGTCTGATCTATATAAATAATATCTTTCACTGTCTACACACTCTACATTCAGTCTACCATGCAAAGTTCGGTTTTGTTTATGCATTTGCAGTCTACATTAGACTAATGGTGACAGGCCTATAAAGGAATCCTGTGGTGAGAGAAATATGTAAGCTGAGAGAAAATTTTGGTTTCCTTGGTGCCTTGGCTTTGGTAAGAAGTCACAGGCCTGGGACAAATTGGATTTTGAATGAAGAATTCCCGACATGTATACACGTTCCAGGCCTGTGCATGAGAGGTCAGCAGTAGCATCTTGCATATTTCTCTCATAGCTTCAAACAGTAAGCAGTATGTCCGGTATTTCAGTTCAGAATACATGGGTTCTGTATACACAGTTCAGGGTGGCTGACTGATTTGAAAAGAGATTCATCTGGTAGAAATGGAAGAGCGTAGATACCACACTGCCCCCCCTTTACTCTTAGGCCCGGTCTCATAGAGCCAGCCACTACAGCCACTATACTTTTAACCTACAGATAGTGAAAAATGAGTAAGCTTTATTGCAAAACCAACATGAGGCCCCTGGGTCTTCATTCTCTAAAATACAATCCTGCCATCTATATCATTCCAAAACCATGACTAACACTGCAGTATATTACGTTTGATTAGTAATCTGGCAGAAGTGCCAAAAATACACGTACTTAAATTTCTCACACAAGGTAATATTGAATGTGGTTAGGATTATTCAATATATACAGTCAATGCAGGGGGTTTTGTTTTGTGTTTTCTTAGGATAGCATCCCATCCCACACAAACACTACACAGGACCTAAGCCCTCCACACTTGCCTATATTCCTTTGTTATTGCTTTATGTACAGTCAGCCCCATGCATGCATCCTGCGTAGAGGCTTCCCATGGGTATCATCAGCAACAACATTGTGTGCTTAGCATAAGCTCCTAACATGACACCCGTGTTGACATGTTTGGTTATGCTTCCTAACTTAATCAGGACATGTGTCTTGTACAATACAAATGATATTTTCCCATATGGTTTTTCAGGCAGAGAGGTTTGAGAATGAAATCCCTAACAAAATATATGTCAACACAATGCATTAGGATGCAGCTGTGGTGTGAACACAGCCTACAGGAAACACTGGCACTAGGTGAGTACATAGGCATACATTTCATACAACAATGGATCCATGCCTATAGTGACCCCTAAGAACCTCACAATGATGGTTAACCACTTCTCGTCTGGCCCATAAACGTAAACAGCCAGATGGGAGCAGTGCCAAAGCTGGTTGCCGTTTATAAACGGCCCCCACATTCACTGCCTGTGCGCGCTCCCTGTGTCCGAGCACCGATCGCTGTACGGGACCTCTGTGTGAGGTCCCCATGCATGTGATCCCTGAGGTCCCCAATCAGTGATCACATGAGTAGTAGTAAACAAGATGTCACTTCATGACATCATTGCTTGCTACTTGTGAAATCTGTGAATGATCACAGAGATCACATGGTACAAGGCTATTCACAACAGCCTTGTACCATGTGACAAGCTGTGACCAATCACAGCTTGCATAGTATTTCTCAACGGCTGCAAGAATGCAGCCAGAGAAAAGAGAAATTATTGCTTTACAGCCTTTATGGGTGTAAAAGCAATCATCACCGTTCACAAGTAGTAAAGTGTCACTATGGTAGGGTGACAGTATGTTAAAAAAAACATAAAAATATAAAAATAAAATAAAAATGTTGAAAAATTATAATTTTTGGCTATAAACTAATGTGGGTTATTTTGTTTTTACTAAAAAGATAACGGAATACATTTTGGTTAAGATTTATAAAGAAAGATTATTTATTTGCAAAATTTTATAAGAAAAAACTTTTTTTTCAAAATGTTTGGACTTTTTCATTTATATAGCAAAAAAATAAAAATCCCAGTGGTGAATAAATAACACCAAAATAAAGTTTTATCTGGCTCAAAAAATGCTAAAAAATTCATATGGGTACAGTGTTGCATGACCACGCAATTGTCATTCAAAGTGTGATAGCACTGAAAGATGAAAATTGGCCTGGACAGGAAGGGGGTAAAAGTGTCCGGACTGGAAGTGGTTAAGGAGATATTTGTCTATCCTTGCATAGCTGGAATGGTGCACATGTAGCACTTTGGATGCTTTCCTCTCTCTTATAAGATGATGCCTCACTCACTGGGAAATATTACAAGATGGAAGTAGATCTGACTGCCTAAAGAGATCACTATATGTAGTACAGAAACAGATATTGCTAGCTTATATCGAGCCATCTATGACTCGCTTCTGTACTAATCTTAAAGTAGTAATAAACCCTCAGTATTTTTCGGCTTAACATAATAAATAAATAAAATAAACATTCCTCGGTAAGCTATTTATTATAATTGTTACTCCAGCGCTTGCAGTTTACAAATTTCAATGCGTCTGGCTCCTGCTCTCGCACTGCTGCTTACCTGAACTTTCAGTCTTCACAGTAAAGAGTTAATAGAGGACAGTGCAGTCTCAAGTTAGTTTGGAAAAAAAAAATGGGGGGAAAGAGTAGGGAAGCACCTTCTCAACCTAGGCTACAGGGCCAATGCGTCTATTGATACATGCAGTGTGGAGAGACAAGGATCTAGTTCCTCAATGCAAGGGAGGCTCCACAGGATACCGCAAGAGTGAGGTGCCAGCCCGAAATAAGAAATCTGGGGCAGTGGTCATGGCACCAGCTTAAACTGGAACATAGGCAAGGATTAAAAGATAAAGAAGCTGCATACTAAATAAGTGATTACATCAGCTGCTGAAACTACTTCAAATCTGAGGGTCTACTATCACTTTAATGAGAAGTTCCAACAGCATCAGCAAGTCAGGGGCCTGAAGACAGCTTGACCTGAGTTTACATTTCACACTGTCACCTGGACATGGAGGACCAAGTCACTCTGCACAAACTTTCTGGAGGTGCTGTTACTTTTTCTATACTACATGAGGGACTTTGGGTGGTAAGTGTGTAGCCAGGTGCAGATCCCCTTTAAAGGTTGCTCCTCCTACTGGTGGAGTGATGGCGAAGTGTGCCCTATCAAAGGTAGGTGGCGCTTACTCTCGTGGTCGGGAGGTGCTGGAAATGTGTCCTGCTAAGGAAGAGTGTCCCTGGGGTTTCCCTTTGCTCTCCATTTTGAGGGAGAGGCAGCTGCTACTACCCTGTAAAGCTGGCCATACATGGATTGAAATTAAAATTTGAAGCCTTGTGTGGCTGAACAGAAGCCGATCTACTGATCAACTTCTGTTCAGCCGTCCTGTTGATATTTTCCTCTTGATCAGCACTGCAGGCAATACACTGAAGTGTTGATCTGTGTATTCTGGCAGAGGGGAAGTCTCCACGCCATCACTATACAATAACTTATATATGACTATAAGTTCATAAACCATGTAGTGT